GGAGATATAACTATTCTTGGAACTTATGCTTCAGACAAGAATTATTTACTGAAATAAATATTACACAAGACAGTAATGCATCGTATAATTTGGGCATTCTCCCTTGTCAATGTATGGATCATGGCAAATATAAACTAGCCACAAAGCAAATCGATTTGTTCATTTTAATCTTCCTGTGTAATTTAATACCTCTGTGATTATTCTAATCTTCTTCCCACTGTTTACAAATCACCAATTAATTAACTCATGAAAGAAAAATTCACATTTCAAAATAATAATATTCTCTATAAAAACCACCACCGCTTAATACTAGCAGTGGAAATGTAAGTGGCTTACTCTACAAACTATGGTGCTGGCAAATACATAGGCAAACTGTTGGGAGATGCTCCAGCTACATTCCTCCTTTCTTGTTTCCTTTCCTCTCTCCCTTACTTGATTGTTTAATATATTCCTGTACCCAAAGCATTCTACCCCACAATTCTATTTGACTTTAACTTGTAATATCTCCTTTAAAAGCCCCATGTTTTAGCGTCATATCACTCCTGCTCTTTTTTTCCCCAGAGTAATTTGCCTGGTTTGAATAGTTCATAGGGATCACTTAATATTTTAGCTAATGAACCTCAGGACAACACACACACACACACACACACACGCACCATCTCAGATGTTTGAGAGTGGGTTTGGAATCAGACTAACGTGTCTGATAAAGACCTGTCCTGCACTGAAGTGTTTATGACTTTAGGGACTACAAACTGATTCCAGTGACATTCAGCTAATTTCTTTTCATCTAATGAATGTATCTTCTCACCTTGTTCCCTTACTTCTAATTGATAAGCTCCAAGTAGTTGCTAATTTTTGACAACTTTTACTTAGTGTTTTGATAAATATATTACAAGTATTTCATTAACCTATTCTCAAGTGGTTTAGCTGCCATTCTGCCATTTAAATTTTATTTTACTTGCTTGAGCACACTGATCAACCACTGAACTGCCTTCTTCCATTGTCCTGCAATGACTAAGGGTTACATTTTTGTGTATATGGCTTTCATAGTTGGGGTTACAGAGCACTGACACCAGATATTTTCAGTTTGTTCTCTGGGGGAATTTCATTTGCATCTATGTTTTTAGCTATCTGTGATAACTTGTTAAATATTAAAAAGATATTTTGCTTCTATTGGAACATTTGTATACTCGCAACTATATTTCTGTAAACAGCTGCAGTCAAAAATAAAAAATTGAAAGTTTTCATTTTGCATTGAGTAACTATCTTTTTTCCCCCTCAAACTTTGTGGATAAATTCGTATTCATGAATGTCATTTTTGAGCAACATGTGTATGTGGCTGAAGTTATAAAATCATTAGGAAAAGCCTTGGCTGGTTTGGCTCGGTTGGTTGGGCATCGTCCTGTGCACCAAAAGGTTGCCAGTTTGATTGTGAGGGTGCATGCCCGGGTTTTGGGTTCAGTCCCTGGTGGGGGGTGGCGGTGTGTGTGCAGGAAGCAGACGATCAATGTTGCACTCTTACATCAATATCTCTCTCCCTCCCCCTTCCTTTCTCTCTAAAAAATCAATTTTTTTAAATCTTAAAAGAAATCATTAGGAAAAGGTATGAAATACAGAAATATTTTCAAGTAATTATTTTGTGCTTTCTGTTTTGCCAGTGTACAAAGTGCTTAGTGTGACAGAATTGTTTTACTTAGTTTAAATGTTGCATCCTTAGTAAAATAGTGTATACACATGGTAGCAAATCATGTTGCATGGAGGTGCTTTTGATAAACACCAAGTCTCCCTACCCCTCAGTCTCACATCCAGAGGCAATCTCTTTTTATTCTTTTGGCAGTTATTTCCTCATGTATAAATTAGTGTTTACCAGAATGTAACATATAGCAACATATCACTAGTGGTACTCAAAATGATTTCAGGTGATACATGGGAAACATTACTTACAAACATAGTACATATGTTTTAATGTGCATTAGAAAAAAATATAATGTGTATACATACTAGACTAAGGGGGAGATGTGAGTCAAATTAAAGAAAAATATTAAGCCCTGGCAGGTATACCTAGAGATCGCCAGTTCGATTCCCAGTCAGTGCACATGCCCTGGTTACGGACTCGATCCCCAGTAGGAGGCGTGCAGGAGGCAGCCTATCATTTCTCTCTCATCGATGTCTCTCTCTCATCAATAAAAACATATTTAAAAAAATAAACACTAATACAGATGATACATGGATATTGTGAATATGATATGTAAAAAGCTGATGTTTCAGAAGTACTGCTTTAGACAGTGTCTGTTGATTCTGTGAAAATGACTGATTTTTTTTTTTTTGAGAGGAAGGGAGAAAGAGAAACATCTATGTGAGAGAAACATCAATCCGTTGCCTCCTGTATGCACCCCGCCTGGGCATCAAACCTGAAACCTAGGTATGTACCCTGACCGGGCATCAAACCAGCATCCTTTTCCTTGTACAGGACGATGCTCCCATCAACTCAGCCACCCCGCCAGGGTGAAAGTGACTGAATTTTTAACATATCCAAATGTATCTAAATGAGTTGTCACTTTAGGAGGATTAAGTTAATTATATATTTTTTTATTTATAAATATATAATTTATTTCAACAATGTTGCCAATGTTCAAAATATGTTTAAAAGTTGTCTTCTTTTGGCATTTATTTGACTTCAATAGCACTGGAAAGGAGTAATAGCCAAATGAAATTTAGTAACTGTAAATATCAAAAATACTTTGGTCCAGAAAAACGGCATAAGTGGGCAAAAGACTGATCTGAAGATGAGACTACAAGCGGCCGCCAGAAAAGCTGATGCAATCCAAGTTACAGTATCCAGAGCAAGGGAAGTAGTTGTCCTGCTTTACTCCGGGCTGGTAAGAGTACTGCTCTGTCATCTTGTAAGGAGCAAATTCTCAGCAACCATATAACCATAAGAACTGAAACATCATTTACCCCTGCTGGGACACAGCAGGAACTCTAGAAGTATAAAAGCAGCTATAGTTTCTCAACAGCAACACTTAATGGTCTTGCTCTCAGGAAGAGGTACTGATTGCTGCTCTTGCGCTCTATTTGATGGTGCCAGTGTCCTTGCTTCCACCTAGGCGATACAATATTTTAAGGCACAGGCTCTTGAGTTTGCCTTCCTAGGTGGAGTTTTTGCTCCTACCTAGCCTTTAACCTCTCCATTCCTCAATTTCTTACCTCTAAGATGGAAACAAAAATACGACCCTCCTCTTCAGAGTTGCTGCAAGAATTAAGTAAATGAATCCATGTAAAATTAGTTGCTGGCACACATAAATGCCTAACAAGTGTTACCTTGTATTTGTCGTATTAGCCTGTTATTACTCTGCTCTTCTGTCTCTTGTGCACTGGATCCCATATCCTTTTGCTTTTTCAAAGACATCTTCCTTTAATTGTCCCCATTCTCCAAAATAAAAACATCTCTCTCTCTGAGTTGTTCTAACTAGTCTATAAATGTCCCTTATCTCTTAAAAAATTAAATAACTTCCTTTGACTACACACCTCCCCACACAGTTTCCACTTCTCCTATTCTTGTAGCTTCCTATTATCCAGCTGCCTACTTGACAGCCTCACTTGGCTGTCTTAGCTATTTCAAACGTAACATGTCTGAAGTCATATTTTGTTCCACCCTTCCCATCCCCCACCATTGCCCCCAGTACCCTTTCCAGATTCTTCCTCAACTTAGATGGAATCTCCATTCTTCCAACTGCTTAAGCCAAAATACCATTAAGGTTTTGTTTTTTTATCTGACCTAGATCCAACCCATCATTAAATTCTGTTACTCTCATCTTTGAAATATGTCCAGAATCCAACCACTTCTCAATACTTCTATGGCTATCACCTTGGTCCCAAAACATATGTAGATTGTGACAACAGCTTCCAAAAATTCTCCTGCTTGCATCATTGCCTCTTATACTTGATTCCTCACATACCAGCCAGAATTAAACACAAGTCAGATTATGTTACACTTCTGCTCTAAACCCTCCGGTGACTTCCTATCTTTACAAGCTTATGAGGCCCTCTGTGACCTGATCCAAGCTATGTGTCTGACCTGTCATCTCTTCCTTTCTCTACTTGAGTGACTTCCTTTCTCACCCACAAACATACTAAGGGTGCTCCTGCCTCAGGGTTTGCACTCACATCGCTCCTGCCTGAAGTGTTCTTCCTTCAGATAGCCACACATCTCTCTCACTTTATCAGGTCTTTGCCCAAAAGAAGCCTTATTGGAAAGGTCTTCCTTGATCACCCTGTGTAAAGCAAGACTCTTGTATCCCATCACGAACCCTCCTTCTCTTTTTCTTCCTAGCATTTATCACCACTTGACATACTTGTTCCTCTCTCATTCTCTAGAATGCAAACTCCATGAGGGCAGGCACTTTGCTACATTCCCAATACCCAGAAGAGTGCCAAGCCCATTGATTGGATAAATCTAGATAAGTCAGGCAAACCAGAATAAATACTGCCCCCTGGCATTTGTTTATTGCATTGTTTTTCTTGATTTCTACACCACTCTTCTTTCCTGGATCTTTAAATGTCCTTTAAAGCCTGGCTGGCGTGGCTCAGTGGTTGAGCATCGACCTATGATCTGGGAGATCGCGGTTTGATTCCCTGTCAGGGCACATTCCCCGGTTGCGGGCTCGATCCCCAGTAGGGGGCTTGCAGGAGGCAGCCGATCAATGACTCTCTCATCATTGATGTTTCTATCTCTTCCTCCCTCCCCTTTCCTCCCTCTGAAATCAATAAAGATATATATATATATTTAAATGTCATTTAAATTTCCCAAGAGGGTCTTAATCCGTGTTTCATTACCATTCAGTATGAAGCAGCCCTGTTGGGTAAACTCTCAAGCCAAGTCACCTGATAGGCTCTGGTCATATTTTATTGCTGAATCCTCTCACTCCATCCTCCTCAGGAGGTTCCACTTTTGCATGAATGCCTCTTTCTCAAACTTCACTGAAATCAAAGAGCACTGGTTTGTTTTGCAGAAATGGATTTTATTTCATTTGGAACTTCTAGAAACATATACAAAATTGCAGTGAGGATGAAGGCAAAAGAAAATATTTTCAAACTGAAGCACCAAGCCATGTGTCATCATGGATGCTGTAAAAGGAAAAAATACCCAGTGACTGTCGGCATCTGGCAACCAAGGTTCCCTAGCCTGACGCCATCATTTTCTTGGCAGGTAGGAAGCTGCTCCCAGTACCAGGCAACCTTGCTTTGCATCATTTGCTCTTTTCTTCCAGTGCACCACAAGAGGGCAGTCTCTCCTCACGTTCCAGCTCTATGGAGCTGCGCTTAACAAGTTCAAGGTGAAATAAGAATATTGTGCCAAAATCGTTCACCAAAGTAAATCGAACTCTAGGTTTACAATTTTATCCCAGAAATTGTGGGACCAAATACATCCTCAAAAGGAAAGTTACCAGTTTAGCAATGATACAGGAAAAACTTTCCAGATGGTCATATAGATCAGAAATAAAGCAGTGTTTGTAAGAATTGTAAGGCTGTTTTTTAAGAATTGGGGTACTATTTCTTTTCTTGAATTCAGTCATTGTAGCAAATTGTAGTATACAGATAGTTGTTTTATTTCTACAGACAGTACATTAGAAAATTGAGTTAAAGGAGACTTTTATTAGCTTTTCATTTCAGGGTATCTGTGCACACTGTATACAAGTAATAGGAGTTAAAGGAAGAATAACCACACTCATATGAGGCATATCAGTCACTATGCAGTAACTAAAACCAATGTATATCACAAACAAGCATAGATTACTAACTACTAAACAAGTCCCTCAGGTCCGACAGATTAAGTCATTGCTTTCTTTGGGGAATTCCCTTTTGCTGTAAACCACAGAGAGGTAATGAAAAGAAAAATAAATCATTCGATGCTTTCTAGCCAGAGTTAACCCTAAAGATTTATCCCTAAAAGAGGGATTAAGTTGTGTGCACGACCTTAAAGAATATTGTCTAGCATCTTTCTGTACCTTTCCCTACTTTATATTTTAAGTGGCCTCTTGAACCTAATCAGATTTTGCCATGATAGCAATTGTAAGAATCAGTTATGTTTAATAAAACTACCCAAAAATGTATGAATAGTCTATTCTCTCCCCTTGTGTTTTAAGAAAAACACAAATCTTAAAAACTAAAGGAAGCCTGAAAAAGATACCTAGATTTGGCTACATTTTAGAAGGAAATCAAGTCCTGTGTATCTTACTCTCTGGCTTTGATCTGGTTTTCGGGTGGGATGGATTTGCCCAAGTGATGACCCACAGAAAGGCCAAACTTCTTGTTTTTCTGCTGTTCCTGGACCTCCTTTTTCATTAAGAATCCTGCCTGGAAGTTTAGGTCAAAGAAACCAGTAGGAGCAAAATACAGTGCAGTCTCATCCCAAATATTCTCCAGCCGTTTCTTCCATCCTTCCAGGATCTGAAGGCGGGTATCCGCGGGAACATGCCCAATGCTGTATGTCAGTTGAGGTTCTAAGACCTGGAAGCCACAGAAATGCAGGGTGCCACTCTGGGGATACACAAAGCACAAAGGCGAGTCACGTACAAACCCCTAACAGCCTGTACCATATGCAAATCACAAAGGTTAATCCGGGCTTCCCAATAAGACCCTCTGATGTGGAGGCCTGAGGCACCCTGGAGAATCCGTTTAGAGCTCTATTCTCTCGCTTTCTGCTCTTCATACCTAGCTGTTACCTATTTTAGCCTATTCAGCTGTGCTCTTCTTTTTTTTATCTTTATTGTTGAAAGTATTATAGATATCCCCTTTTTCCCCCCCCCACT